AGATGTTCTGCTGCCGCTGCAGGGCCTCAGCTCAGGGCCCGATTTCTTGCTGTGGGTGGGTGTAGGGTTTAGAGTTTAGGGTTTAGGGTTTTGGGTTTAGGGTTTAGGGTTTAGAGTAGGGTTTCGTCGAATTAAGGGCCGGCTTTGCAGTTTCGGGTTCCTTGGCGATGCAGGAAGCATCGACGCAGACCCCTAGTGGCCCTAGTATGCTTGCAGGTCTGATTGGGCCATCGTGTTCTCTAGGAATGCTTCATTGCTCTTGGAGGCTTAATGGGTCCAAGGTTCTGCAGTCTGGAGGCAGGCTTTAGGGAGGAAGCCCGAAACCCCACACTTCAAACTCTATAGTATATACTATACTATACTATATACTATACTATATACTATACTATATACTATACTATATACTATACTATATACTATACTATATACTATACTATATACTATACTATATACTGTATTATATACTATACTGTATACTATAGCAAAGGCACCTGGTCGATGAGATCCTCCTCCAAGAATTGCAGGGCGCGGGCGTGCGCGCCGCAGCGGACGGCGGCGCTGACCACCAGACGCGGTGCGAAAGGAGTCAGCAGCAGCTCCTCAGCTGGTTGCAACAGCTCAAAGTCCCTTTTTTTGACACCTTTTCCCGGCTGCATGAACCTACATATTGCCGGAGAGCCCGGTTGGGCATGCAGATTTTCCACCCTTGAAGCTCCCCATCCTCGCGGCTCTTCGGCCTCGCTTCCATGAGGCTTCCTTTCGTCCGCATTCTCCCACGTATCGCCCACATCGGCTTGTTCCTCCTCCACCCTCTTGCGTCCGCTCATGTCACATCTATATCTCCATGTTCACTACCGTCAGTCCAAACTGCAGATGTCTAGGGCTCCTGTGGTTCACTCTCAGCAGGCAGCTGATTAGAGTAGAATCGGACAGGCGGGGTTTAGGGTTTTGAAAGCCTTATAGAGCTCCTCTCCCGACAACCGGACGTAGCACCGGACACGGACCTGAAGCCAAGCCACAATCCGCTGCATCTGGCGATTCTTCCACATCTCGTCACCATTTCCTGGGGTGCAATACCCCTACCCTAAACCCTAAACCCTAACTAATGCATGGCATCTTCTCCTTCCAGCTTCTTGCGGCTTCCTGGAACGAAGGCAAATACAAAAGCAGCAAAGCATTGCCCGAAAAGTGGATCCAGGTCTCGTGTTACCGGAGTTTGCTTGACCTCTTCCTGGCCAAGAAAACTCACTTACGACGTCTGCAGCGCATAATATGATAAACATTATGCGCAGACTGAGGTATGCTGCAGGCACACAGAGAGGACGGAAAGCGTTCATCAAGAAATTGACTCGTTACTGCTCGGCCCGTGGTAAGAGGCAACCGGGTTTAGGGCTTGGGGGGCTGGGGGTTTAGTAGGGTTTAGAGTTGTGCAGAGGTTTAGATTTAGGGGTTCAGGGTCAAGGGACCCAATAGATTGAAAATTACGCTAAAAAGCTCGCGAATTTACCAAAAAGAAGCCGTGGATGGCTGGAGCAATATTCCTGTAGACGGAGCTTCAGCAAATATTCAGGGACCAGGCTTTTGGACATCCAACAGGGCTTTCTGGGCTTTGAGACTTCTTTGAGACTTCTGGGTTGGCTCGGGGAGGAGATCCTTCGACATCTCAAGGGACCAAGCAATCGAATCCTCTCAAAGGGTATCCGACTACTGAGTGGGTTCGGAGAAGGCGTTTTTCAAGGCGTCCATCCCCGGGATCCTTGATGAAACTCTCGCAACACGCTGAAAGCACCGACAGCAATCCTTCTGAATCTCAATGCGCATGAATAGGGTGCCGTGCCTGACGCTGGTACAGATCGTCCAGAAGCGAGAATACCTCGAATGTACCGTCCCAGAAACAACGATTCAAACAGGAATCGCACTATCTACTATGGTGACACAAAAAGTGAGAACAGTAGAAGCAACAGAATCAACGCAACAAGCAACGAATCTTTACGACTTCGTATTATGAAGCTCAAAGAAGCAACTGAGGCTACCAAAGACAAGGAGGAAATATGGGCAATGACCGTGAACCAACAGGCAGAGGGCGCGGCACAGGCTTTGCATGCATGACACACACACACACAGAGAAACACAGCTCGGATGGCCATGCTCATCATCGCCGTTCAGGCCAACAACAAGCATAGTTGAAGTAACAAGATCACGAACACAGATGGCCAAGAGCAAAGCACTAAACACAATAAGTACAACGACAAAGATCACGGGAGCAAGGCTGGTGGAAGGATGAAGCACACAATGTGCACATGGGTCAGCGCAGCTGACATATGTCGGATGTGCACAACTCCACTGACGACTAGTAAAACCAACTAGCATTATCAATACGATGGGCACAGCTATTCACGGCCGTGACATGTTATATTTAAGCCACACGGTGGGGCGCTAAATACTCGGCAGACGACCTGGAAGAAGCCACACTGGACACGTGCTGGTTGTTGCAACCTCTGATTTAGGCTCCGATATTGCTCCGACTCGCTTGCCGCAAAGGTGCCGCTTGCGCCGTGGCTGAGTGCCGGGGCTCCAGACGAACACCTGCAACTTCGTGGTCCGGGCTTCGGGGTGTTGGCTTCGGGGTGCGCGAGCACCAAGACCTTAATAGTGGTGTCAGGTGTTTGCGTGTGGTTCGGGGTGTCAGGTGCAATTTCAAGGGCTTTCGGGCGGGGCTTCGACTTTTGAGGAGCTGCCTTCATCCAAGCCCTGCAACACTAAAACCCGAAACCCGTCCTAAAACCACCAACAACTCCTTAAACCCTCAAAGCCCCAAAGAGACCGGCCTGCCTTCCTCCAGCCTCAGCAGCCCGCTGAGCCGCGTGGCCAGAGCCGACAGCTCCGCCTCATCGGTTTTGGGGCCCGCCAGGAGATCCGGAAGCACCTGGGGAAATCTTGGACAAGCACCGATGGGGGAGAGCTCTTAACGGGCTCTAGGAAGGCTGCTCTACATGTTTCCTCAGTGGTTCAAGAAAGAATCCCCGCACCGCTTGTACCGAGAACAGCAGAACTGAGATTCAACTCTTGCCCAGCAGCCTGGTGCATGAGAAACAGCGTGAGCGCATGGTTGCCGGGTATGGCAGGCAAGCATGCCTGTGGGAGGGTGCTCTCAATTCTGCTTCCGGTTGCTGGTGCTTTGCTGGCGGGCGAGAATTGCATCACTGCTTTCCAGTGGGAAACAGCGAAGCATTGTGTAGATGACTCACTGCTAACAAGCATTTCGCACGGTTCTTCTACTTACGCTATTGCCACTGATTGACCTTGAGAGTGACGGTCTTTGACGTACTCACCGTGGTAGCAGCATCAGCAATAGTAGCCACGGCAGTGGCAGAGACTGACTGTCAGCTTGACTCAGTTCATCGTGCGATTTCTGATTGAGGTTGGAATGCAGATACCACCAGCTTCAAGTATACAAACGCAGCTAACTCATTGCTGGTACTGCGATGATGATTACAAAGCACCGAACCTTTGTTTCAACCTTGAGCTTTCTAAACCTTAAATTGCTAGTCTTTGATCATGGTCTCCTCGAAGAAAGCCCGCCGCTCAGCCGGTAGAAGGCTGGAAGCAGCCACCAGCGCATCTGCAAGAGCGGGCGAGAGCCGGCGGGCGGAAACATCAGAGTCTATCCGACAGGCGAATCGGAAACAACCCACTTCAACTCACTTCCACGACAAGCGCAAGGAGCACTGGCAAGCCACACACACACACACACGCACACACAAGAAGACCAAAACAAGACCAACATCAGAGGCAGGAGCAGCATCATCCGCCAGCCATTGTATGCAGAACAAACATCTTCTTCAGCACCGAACAATGCACAAAAACTGGCCCCATGATGGGGGGAAGATTGCCGTAATATTTGCCCTCACCGTATTCAGACGAATTGCAGCGGCGACAACAGGATGCAGATACCACCAGTCGCCACACAAAATCCCACGGCGAAGGTAAGGAATGCCAAGAACTCTAAACCCTAAACCCCTAAATCCCTAAACTCCTAGACCCCAAAACCCCTAAACCCCTAAGCCCTAAACCCCTAAAACCCTAAAACCCTAAAACCCTCAAAAGCCACAAAGAAAGAGACAACCTCGCTCCGTCCAATTGCCTTCGAAGGTCGCAGGGCCCTGGCTCGCCCTCGCTGCGGCACTCACCCGCCTCGCAACTCAAATTCAGGGCCTTCTGCGGGGCGGGTGTCGGGGGGTCTAGGGTAGGAGCCTGATCAAGAAACCCTGGCCCTATGGGTTTGGGGGCCCTTTCGAGCTTGAAGCTTTGAGCGACTTCCCACTTTTCAATTGCTCTGCAGGGCCCAAGAAGACCCCCAGGTTGCCGGGACACTCGTAGGAGCTGCTCATGTAAGGGCGCAGGGTCTCCCGCACATCCTGGCGGCAGGCCGAAATCGAAGGTCCCTAGTGGGGCAGGTTGCATTTCTAGCTATCTCCAGACACGACAAAATCCTGCGAGGTCCAAATCTGAACCAGAACCGGCAGACTACTACGGACCATCAAGCAACAAGAACGAGTGCCGCATCGATCCCCGAGTCTTGTGTCTGGGGATGGAATATTATGCCGTCCTCGCGCTCCAGCTTCAGCAGGAGCTGCTGGTCTTTCCCACCGGGCTTCAAGTACCGAAAGATCTCCTGGCAAAGTCTCGGACGATGGACATCTTAAAGCTCTAGGGGCTACTACTTGATAAACTACCGAACATGACATCATTAGAATTCTTGCTAACATTGTCGCCTTGTTGAGCTAGTGTGCTCGACAACAGTGTCCGAAGGTAGTGGCCGCAACTCTTTAGACTGGTTGATCTTCCTCACGGTTCGTCTTCCCTGCAGGATGACGGGCTGCGGCTTTGTTGAGCTGAGGCACAAACATGGCCCAGAATGGGTCCCATCTACATGGCATTAGAGGCGTCACTAAAATAAACATGGGTCCATACAAGCATGCATGAATGCAAGATTGCGTAAGAAAGATGTAGCTAGATGTAGATGTATGCATGCATGTGCATACGAAATCTCATGAAACGTAATGCAAGGTCTGGTATGGGAGGGTAAGGTAGGGTACGCAAGGTGGGGTAACAGAACGTATTGTAAAGTATGTGTTTTTCAGTCATGCGTGTATGCGTGTATGCATGTATGCATGTATGTGTATGTATGTATGTATGTATGTATGTATGTATGTATGTATGTATGTGTGTATGTGTGTAAGTACGTATGCAGTGATGTATGTGTGTATGCATATATATATATAATAGAATGTGTACATGTTTATATGCGTGTCTATGTGCACAATTGCAGTATCGATGCATCTCTGTGTATACATGCATGCAAGTATGCATGTGAGTACCTTGACAGATATGCGTGCCGCATGCATCTGTACAGAAACATGAGCACATGCACACAATATGCATATACGCGTGTGTTCGCTCTCTGTTACATTTACAAACAACACAGTTTGCCCCGCACGTGTTTGCATGATGCGTACATGCATCCAACCAGATGAGTATATAAGAAGCATTCAGCAAACATGTCTCCTCGGCCGTGACTCAGCTTTCTAAGCACGAGGGCACGACTAATGGAAGGCTTTGTTGCGGTGAACCCTCACCTCAAACCCTACATCTTCAGACCCAATCTTCAGACCCTGCAACCCCCTTTTCCCTCTAAGTTCCGCGCCTGCGCGGCGAAAGCGTAGTTGTTACTGGTCAGATTCGGAGCGAGGAACTCTTCCAGTACGGTCTTGGCCAAGTCGAGGTCACCTGGCATAAGAAGCAATCAACGTGTCGATATGACACGACATGTATCTATAGAGATAAGTAGTAGGTAGTACGTATGTCCGTATGTATGTATGCATGTACGTATGTACGTACGGATGTAGGTAGGTAGGCAGGCAGGCAGGCAGGCAGGGAGGCATG